TAACAGGTCGGCCACCCCTGCTATAGAGGACCAAACAGCCTTTTTTGTGTGCGCGGGGAGCAATGCTTCATTTGTCCAGTGAACCAGAAAAGCAAAATTTTCTGTCAGGTTATTTTGCTGGGTGTTTTGAGTGGAGATTGCATCTTTTTAAAGAGTAGAACATTGTTTTATAACAATGTACACTTGCAAAATTAATGAGAGGGAACCAAATTAGCAGTGCGTAAGGAGATAACTGAAAGGGGAAGCACGCCTGGGCACAGTTGACAGGAGGAGAATAGGAACACATGAGAAATTATGGGGAAAGCGAGAGGCCAATTAGTGCAGGAAGGCTCATTTTCTTTTAGCACTTACTTCACACACACACATACATACCTCTCCTGAGGCCATGTCATTATTTTCCGAATGGCATCGGTCCCCTCTTGTCTGGTGTTATTTGCCAGTGTTAATGGTTCCTTCTGCTCCTGCCGGCTTGCTCACACACTCTGGTTTCAGTTTCTTGTTCAGCCCTCTCTGTTGTGTTTTTTTTTTTTTTTTTTTTTGCATTCGCCTAATTGTATCTGGATCTGCCACTGTGAAATACACCACTGTTCAGAATTCTTCGTGATTTTTTAAAAATCTGGAAATTAAAAGGGGCTGCAGTTATAGTGATATTCTGCGCATAAAAGCATGACTCACTCCTACGGGGTAGCAGCTGATATTAATCCCCAGAACTTTGATTTGCTATGTTGGAAGCGTACATAAATACTATTTGATGTGTGATGATGTATTCACTTTCCACCCCTGTCATCAACAAATTGAACATATTTCCTGGTGGTGCTTTTGACTGGGTTATGAGCATAGCTTGAAAACAATATGGATCTAGATCCTGACCCTGTGGGATTCCAGTTGATAGGAATTCCTCCCTATTTCCCACTGGGTTGCAAGACTTCACACAAGTTTGCTCACAAGAGGGCTTTAGAGTGAGATCACGTTACGCATTCAAAACCTTATTTAGTCTCCATATAGGACTCCAGTGTTTTGCTTTTCAGACCAATCTTCAACAGGGCTGAGGTTACACAAGCCTTTTGGGGATAATCTCATTAGGATAATTAAACATCTGTGTAATTCTGCTTCTCCATATGTGGCAAGAATTATTAAGTTATATTTTCAGGAGCTGTTTTGCATGACAAATTGTAGACGCATACAGTAATAGGGTTTGAGCACTGGTAAATAGAAGAACTAGATGACACAAAGAAATCTTGTTCAGAAGAACAGGGTAAATCCTGATTATGTGACGTTATGGTTATGGATCATCAATATCGGTTTATTAAATAGTGAAATGACATTTCAGGGTGATAGTTGTCTAGAGGAATGAGCACTGAATAAACGCCTATAAATAAATAAGTTCAAAAAACCCTGGAATGATGTTTTTAAAGCCGTTTTCAAGTCTCTCAAACTTCTGCCCTTAGAATGACTGATGTTATCTTGGAGTGTTCTTAAATGACCATACTCTATCGTTTGCAATCTCATTTACTCAAAGGAACGACTGACAATTGCCTTCTACTTGAATGAGTGGATGGTAGGAGACAACTCTGCTAGGACAGTCACATTTTTTGGCATCAGAACAGATCTATATGTATCTAAACTAATACAACCCACCAGACTGGGTTGTATAATACAACCTCTGCACTGGAGGTTTGTGCAGTGTCAAGGGATGATGAAGGGAAAGTTTCAGCAAGGCATAGGCAAGGCAGGTAATATATTACAGGTCACTATTGCTTATTGTGACAAGTGGCATTCCTTTTGGAGAATAAACATTTTGATATTCTCACAGAGAAAGCTTTAGAGACAAGAATTTTGTGATTGTAGAATTCCTGTTTCTCCCAGTGTCCTTTGTCAGTAAATCCCCCTGCCAGAGCACCCTTCCCAATTTCCTGACATAGATGAAAGCTCTGAAGAAGTGTTTCTCGGGAAAGTGACCGTTGTGGACACCTACACCCTTTGGCACGCTGAGAAGTAGATTGTGAACTGCCTGCGCTCGTGTAGGACTTCCTGAAGCAGATACGCTCTCGTAGCTTGTATTGCTTCCTACTGGGATGAATTCCAAGCCAGTAAAAGGCAAACTGAATTAATTCAACAATGACATATGCCACTGGAAACTGTTTACATTTCTTAGCAAAATTGGAGTTTTCTCGTCCATGATTTTTTTTTAATGCCGAAGTAAGGCATATCCTGGGCACAGTTACAAGGATATGCTCTATTGCGGCTCGAAGTTCTCAGTTTAAGACGAAAGCTTGAAAGGCTGATTTTTGATAGATGCAGAGAAGATAAAGCTGTGTAGCTTCCTTTTCCATGCATCGTTTCTTCAACATTTTTCCACAGTACCCAGCATGCTGCCTTTTAATCTGCTTCTCTTCCCCTATCCCGAAGAAGACACCTGCTGGCAGTCCAGATGTACTGCTAATGTCTTCTAGCATCAACAGTCCTCGTATAGCAACTTTTGCTGATGTTTTTAGTTCAGTTCACTCCAAACATTGCTTAAGGAGTGGAAAACACTTAGACTTTCACCTCAGAAGCAAGAACCTGAGTTTTTCTCTCTACACGTTGAACCTTTTTAGTCCAGCGCCCACAAGACCTGTCCGGTGCCAATCCAGAGAATTTGCCAAACCACGGGAGGTCAACTGCGTGTAGTAGCATTACCATTACTTCCACTGTTACTGGGCTGTTAGAGGACATTTAAGGGTAAATTAGAGCTAAATAACAGCACAGGACTGGTGGCTGTAAACAAATTTTACGGGACTGCGGGAAACTTGGCCAAACGCATGATAACTGGACACGTGGCTCACTCAAATCATGCCAGACCATGGATGTTGCTGGACCAGAGAGTGCAGGACTAGAGAAGTTCAACCTGTAGTGTTGCTTGGCCATTTCCACTTGGTATCTCTGCCTCAATACAAGTGAATTGTGCTTGCTGTGGCACCCTGTGGAAGAAGTAAAAGAACCCTCATGAATATTACAGAGGTATTGTACTTAATTTGGCACGTCAAAACTCTAAGCCAGACTGTGTTTGCTAAGTGATGTAAATTTTTTCATGCAAATTGAAATATAAATTTTTGTACTGGCGCATAAGGAGAGGGACATGTATGGAACTCTCATATGAAAGAGATGAAGTAATACTGTCCTTGGCAAGAGATGAAGTAATATTGTCTTTGGTTGCTGGTGATACTTCACTTACCTAATAAGTTGCAAGGGACCATCTATTTTAATTTGCTCTTCTCTACCACTCGGATCAATAGTACTTCTTTCCCTCCCCCCATGTGTTGTGGTGCTTAATTGTTGGTAAGGCGATTAAAGTTCCACTGATGAAAAGGATTTTCTTACTCTGGACTATTAAAAGAAATGAAATGCTTGTCTTCACGGAGGCACATCGTTTATGTTTTGCAGCATTTGAAGCAAACGATGTGAAATGGATTATAAGCTTTAATGTCTATTGGACACACGTGCTAAATAAAAACTGGCAATAATGTTTCTGAGACAAAGCACAAAGCCGGTACCCTCTGCAACCTTTATTCATTGAAGTTAGAGGTGTGGGAATGATACTGGCTACTCATCTCTCTTGTGATCAGTTCTGCACTCTGTGCACGTTCGCTGCCCCTGCAACATCCCTCTGATTAGCACCTCATTTAGGCTTTCCTGCTAAAGGGCATTACCTCCATCAGCCTACTGCTTAAAGCCAGAGAGATTTCTTGCTGGGCTTGCAGCAGCCCATGGTCTTGCTCTGTTTTCAGCAGCCTGGCAAAAGCATTTACAATTAACCTTTACTTCCATGTTGTTTGAATTTTACTCCTGCCTATGGAGGAGTATAATCTAAATGCTATTAAAATAGAGTATGACTTCATATTATGTGACATCTGGTGACTTCCAATTATCCGTGTTTTGCCTACCTATGGGGAAAAGGCAATTATGTTTGGCTGGTAGGGTTTGCTGCTGTTTCAGAAGAGATGATAATACAATACAGAACAAGGGCATGGAATTGCTCTAGTCAAAGAAAACACATGGCGGGGGGTGGGGGGCAATAAACAAAAAGTCAAGTGTGTATTTTTTTTATCTTTGTTCAGATCTGGGGCCATTTACTGAGCAGCCAGGGAGACGTACGTTAAGTAAGGCAGAATGATTGACCGAAATGGCATCTAGTAACTTGTCATTCAAGCTATTGCGTGAAAAAGTTTTACTTTTCAATATTTTGTGAATTTGCAAATTGGAGGGCTTTGTATGCAAGGCCCTATCATGCTAGTGTTATTTCTGCTGACTCACCTTGATCTCAGATGCCAGGACCTTACTATGGTATTATTTTGTGTAAAACCTGAGAGGTAAGGATTTCTGCGGTGAATTACAACAAAATCCATCTATCTACTCTTTTTGATAATCAGCGTTCTAAAAGTTCCTTCCTATGTACTAATGCAACAGATTTTAACAGTTCACCAAACTTTATGACATGCTATTGGATCGGGGTGTTCGGTTTTTTCCCTAGTGCCATTATTACGCTAATACATACACTAACATGAATTTTACTTACTCTGTTTACAAAGCTCTAAGGCACATTCCCTGCCCCAAAGTGATTACAAATGAGGGACATGGACCTGCAAACTTTAATCACTAAGCAGAGCTCTTAGTTTATTGACCTGAGGAAGTGACTTACGATGGTAAGAGTAACACTTGGATCCTGTTTGCAGGATCTGGCCCTAAAATCGTGGGTAAGTAAACTTAAGACTGGAACTAGGGGGCAGTAGTAGAATCCACTTGATGCGTTGTATAAGTACCATACTTTCATGCTGTAACACATAGCTGAAAGTCAAGGATTGAGTGATACCCTTTACTGAAGGTCCATTATTTACACGTCATGTAAACTGGAGTGACAGTGGAGTGATGGCAGTTTTAATTTTGTGTATAAATGTATCCATTGTAGCATCATTCCTTTTACTGGTACTGATTCTATTCCTTCCATGCTTCCTGTGCAGCAGACAAGAATAGCTCCAGTATGGCCACCAGACCTTCTCCTGGCAAAATGGAGTGGATCATCCCCTTGATTGTGGTGTCAGCCCTGACCTTTGTGTGCCTCATTCTTCTTATTGCCGTGCTGGTTTACTGGAGGTGAGCCTGTTTCCTTCCGATTGGGATTTGAAATACTTTGGGGACTGTCTTTTTCATACGCCCCTGTGCTTTTTTATTTTACCGGCGGTGACGATGATGGGCTCGTTCGATCTCTCTAGAGGTGTTAGGGCAGCTGAATGGGTTAACTATCTTCAAGTGTCTCAGGGATTGATTTATGTGTCTTGAAAAGGAGATTCATGGTAGCACTCGCAAGGGTTTCCTCAATTAGCTCTCCTTAAATCGCTTACACGTGCATGGCAGTTGTGACCTTCCGGAGGAGAAGCTTCACTGAACTGGGGCTCTGAGTTGTAGGCCTGACTTGGCCACAGACTCCCTGTGTGAGCTTGGACACGTCCCTCTAGCACCCTGTGCCTCAGTTTTGCCATCTCTAAAATGGCCTCCTTGTTACCTCATAACAGTGTTTTGGAGATTAGCTCTGCAATATCAGGAAGGGGCCCAGACACTGCTGTAATGAAATGTATAGTAAAGCCCATGGGAATAAAATACAATGCAACCAAACCCTCCCGATTGCCTCTTTTGAAGAGATCCTGGTGGGTATGCTAAGTGGTGGGATGGTTGGATAATGAGGATGATAGTTTAGCAACCCTGAACTCATCTCACTTTAGACCAATGACAGATTTGATTCTAAGGCATCTTTCTGGGTATACCTGAAGCCACTGCACCTTTTGTGGTCTGTTGAGATGAAGTGATTTGGATAGCGTTTACGTGGTCAGGTACTTCTGTGCAAGACAGGCTCTGAGGAGAAGCTCAGGGCTTTTCTGGTGTGGAATGTACCATTTGTTTTTTTCTAGAAGAGAATCTGGATTCTGAAGGAGAAGGGGACTGGCTGGTTCAGAAAGCCCTGGAGCGCCTGTCCGGAAAGGCAGGAACTACCAGCTCTCTATTGGTTAAATCTCTGTCACTCCAGTCCAGAGCTCCGGGGCTTTTAGACCAGGTGTTCTGTTGGAGTAACCAAGGCGGGAAGCGGGAAAGGGCTGTTTCAGGTTCTAGCGCACCTCAGGGGCAGAGTTCCCGCTACGGTTTTCCATCCCTGAGCGGAGTGAGTTTTGTCTTTTGAGCCAACAATGAGGTTATGTGCGCTTGTTCGGACGTGTGCCGCCGTGGCACCCACCGGGGCGCTGCTCCCCAAAAGACTCTCCCAGGTAGCACCTCCCCCCACAAGTCAGG